CACTGACAATCCCTAAAGGGACATGAATAGCTCAACTTGTACCCTTTGGGAGGTGTGTTCCCCAAACAGAGCCTCATGAACGCCAGGATAAAGGATTTGATTCTACTGGTGCACCACAAGTGCTTTGGTCAGTGCCGATTTCTGCGCAGCATCCACAGATGACCTGTACTCTCTGCAACACTTGAAGCTTGCCATCAGTTGTCCAGGTGAACGGACTGCTAGACTCTGGAGCTGACGTAACTATCATTGCACTGACATCCTGGCCAGCCTCTTGGCCTTTGGTCACGACAGGGACCGGAGTTGTGGGATTGGGAGGTACTACTCAGAGTTTTGTCTCAAAACATGCAGTACTTACTACTAATCCTGAGGGTCAAACTGCTACCATCAGGCCATATGTTACTGTGGCACCTTTAACCCTGTGGGGTCGAGATACTCTCTCTCAGTGGGGGGTGAAGATCACCACGGATTTTTAACTGGGGTCACTGTATTGCAGGGTGTGACACAACCCACCATTGATTGACATGGCTTACAACTACTCCTGTGTGGGTTAAGCAGTGGCCCCTACCTACAGAAAAGTTGTTGGCCCTGCAACAGCTTGTTAAGGAGCAACTTGATGCTGATCACATTGAACCATCTCAGAGTCCTTGGAATACCCGTCTTTGTGATAAAGAAAAAATCTGGAAAATGGAGACTGCTGCATGATCTCAGACAAATTAATGCAGTCATGGCTACCATGGGAGCATTACAGCCTGGTTTACCAACTCCTTCTATGCTTCCTGCAGGATGGCCCATTGTTATTATTGATTTGAAAGATTGTTTTTTCACAATACGGTTAGACCCCAGAGATAGAGAAAAATTTGCATTTTCAGTTCCATCTATTAATCGTGCAGAACCTTACAAGCGTTATCAATGGAAAACTCTCCCCCAGGGAATGAAAAACTCTCCTACAATTTGTCAGTGGTTTGTGGCTCTAGCATTGTCTCCTGTACGAATGCAATTTCCTGACTATCATTGCTATCATTATATGGATGACATTTTGCTTGCTGCGGCCACTGAGGATCAGCCGGATGTGTTAGAAACTGAAACCAGGAAGAGTTTACAATCCTTTGGCCTTGTAGTTGCTCCTGAGAAGGTGCAGCGAGAAGAACCCTGGAAGTATTTAGGGTTCAAAATTACATGGAAAGCAGTTATTCCTCAGCCAATCCAATTGGATATTAACATCAAAACTCTTACTGATGTACAAAAGCTGCTAGGATCTTTTAATTGGATTAGATCATATCTGGGATTAACAAACACCCAGCTGGCACCTTTATTTGAGCTGCTCAAGTATTCTGATGATCCTCAGGAACTGAGAGAACTGACTAGCAAAGCAGTTCAAATCATCCAGTAAGTGGAGTAGGCTTTACATTCTAAATTTGTCAAATTGTCCAATTTTTTATTCTTGCAGATCACGTTGCTCCTTTTGGGGCACTGGTACAGTGGTCTGACCAATGGTCTGATCCACCGCACATCCTAGAGTGGCTGTTTTTGCCTTATCGAGCTCAAAAAACTGCTCCTGGATTGTTCGAATCCCGGTGTGTGGTTGTGGTCTGTTTCTGTTTTGCAATCATGGGTTGTGTGGATTCAAAATTTAAGATCCCTAAAGAATCCCCCCTGAGTCTGGTTTTAAAACATTGGAAGACTTTAACTGGTTCTGAGACAACTTTAAAAAAAGAAGAACTGTGTAGGCTGTCTGTAGATGCCTGGTCGTTGTTTGGAAAAATGAGAGGGGTGGCGTGGTCGGAATTTGGTCCGTTTGAACTGGACACAGTGTTTCGATTAATCTCGCTTCTTCATGTAGAACAGAGGTGGCAGGAAATTCGATATGCAGAACTGTTTTTGTTTATATTAACACGCCCTGAATTGGGGGTAGGAGATAAGAAAAACAAAAGTTCAGGAGAGACAGAAAAATCAGAAATGGCTTTAGGAAAAGGGAAAAAGAAAGATCGAGTTAAGGCTGCTCCTGTCCCACAAATTTTATTTAAAAACACCGGAGAAGATGATTTAGATATGTTGATATCACCTGACAGGAGAGACAGTAGCCCGGGAGCTCCACAAATTGGACTCCCCGCTGCCGAGGCGGCGGGGGGGGCTGGAGCTGCAGGGGTGGTGGCTCCTGGACCGGCTCCTGCTGGACAGGCGGGGGCTGGGCAGGCAGGAGCCGCGGGGGGGCTCCCTGGTGTGGGTATGGCTGCGCTGGGGGGAATCGGACAAGTTGAAACTTCCGGAGGAGTTGGTTCGGGGGCGGCGGGAGCTGCCCCAAGCACGGTTAGTACAGGATCTGCTGCCATAGCAACGAGTACAGGAGCAGGCACTGCGGGAGTAACAGGGCTGGGGCCAGCCCCGGCTGCAGCGGCAGCGGGGGGAGGGGCCCCAGGAGCGATAGCAGGAACAGCCCCTGGAATTCCGGGAGGGGCAGGGGCGGCGCTGACAGGCGGGGCCTCTGTCCTGACTGACCTGGGGGGTGGGGCTGGAGCCGCCCCCTTTCCCACGCCTCCCCCTGCCGAGGGGGGCCAGTCCACCTTTACGGGAGGGGGAAAGAAAGAGGAACCGAGAGAGTTTCCAATCTCTGCCTCTCATGAAGAGAGAACAGAGACGCAGAGACAGGGCAAGCTAGTTTCAGGTGCTGAGAGAAGGCGGAAGCGAGGTTTACCACCGTTTGATAAGGACACGGAAGCAGAAGGCGAATCAAGTGACAGCTCAGGAGAAGGGGAAGTAGACCCACCGGTAGTAAGACCAAAAACAAAGGGGAAGAGGGCCCGTGAAGCGTTAGCTGCGCCCGACCCGATAGCAGGTAGAACAAGAGCAAAGGATAAGCCACCGTTAGAAGCCCCCTTAAGACAAGCTGTAACCAATCAGGGCACAGTATTAATAGAAGTTCCTTTCTCACTGGTTGAGTTACAACAATGGAAGGCTTCTGTGGGGGCATATAGAGATTACCCAGACAAAGTGGCAAACTATGTGCAAAGAGCAATCAAAACTCAGAACCCTGACTGGTATGACCTGGAAGTTATAATGGATACTTTATTAGATCAAACAGAGAAGGAGATGGTAAAAAGAGCTGCTCAAACTGTGAGAAATAAAGAATCGATTTTATTACAAGCAAATGAATTTAGCAAATCACTAACATAAGAGTTTTTCTTTACTAACCTATAGGGCCTATCGCGGAGCTGTAGGACGCCGGATTCAGCCTGGAACCGGTGTCAGGGAAACATGCGAATGGGAATAGGGAACTGTAAATGAATATTGGTAAGGAAACCCCTTATACCACATGGCTGGTCCTGGAAGCTGCCATGCTGCTGGACACTCCACCTCCCAGCACGACACAGCCAACCAGAAAGAGGGGAACGCCTCTTCTATGACGTAAACGGGGTTGAACCTTAAGAATGTTTAAAAAGCGGGACTTTTGAATTGAAGGGGGTGTTCCTGGGAACCCTGCGTGCCTAGGACACCCAACACGTGTTGTAATTTTTCCTTTTCGTTTTGTTCCTTTTGTTTTGCAACTTTTGCCGTCTTTCTAAATTCAATAAGTGAGATTTTTTTCTCTCAACTGGGGGCTCGTCCGGGATAACTGCCCGCCGACCACAGCTGGGGGTGCCAAGACCCCCTGGAAAGCGCGCTCCGCCCTGATTTTGGCGGCCCAGGAGGCTTTGTACCCTCGCCAGGGTCGGTCGCGGCAAAGACCTGGGATGAACGGCTGTAGAACAAAAGGAAGCGAAAGGAATCCCAGCCGGTATACAAATTAAAACTCTGGAGCCCTTAAAACTCTGTGCACGGAACCCGGTAAGGAACTAACAATCTTTAAATTCTACCGTGCGGGCTGGGTGAAATGTGTGTGTGTGTATATGTGTATGAATGTAAATGAAAGCGTCGGCGAGCGCGGGAGAGCGGAGGACCGGGGAGTACTCGGACCCCCGGAGCGGCACGGCGGGGTCGGCCCGGGCCCGGGGCCAAGAGGCTTGCAGTAGAGCCAGGCGGCTGCTGCGAGCGCAGCGGGGCGGGAACCAGCGGAGCGGCTGGGGCCCATGAGCGAGCGGCGCCAGGCGGCGAAGTGCTCTGGGCAGAGGCGGAGCAGAGCGGAGCGGTGGCACGCTCGAGCGGCGAGCGGCGGCAGCGCGCCGTGGGTGTTCCGGAGCGGCGCGGCGGGGTCGGCCCAGGGGCCAGGAGCGAGAGGCGCTGAGCAGCGGCCCGGGGCCGGAGCCGGAGCCAAGCGGCGCGGGGCCGGCCCGGGGCCGGGAGCCGCGCGGGGGAGAAGGCGGAACCGAGTCGGCCCCGTGGCTGGAGACGGGCTAATCTCAGGCGGGCCGGCCGGGAGCTGGCCGGCGCAGCGGCAGCGGTTGGCACGGCGCTCGCGGGAGCTTTAGAGTCCGGTAGCGCGTGTGTAGGGGAGGCGACGCCAGCTGGGAGTCTGGCGGTGTGTGCGAACACGTAAAGTGCCGGCCAAGGGCCCGCCGGTACACTAAAGCGAAAGGTGGCGCTGGACGGGGATCCGGCAGCACCACCAGCCGGGGGGCCGGCGGCGCCAGACGGAAATACACGGCTCCTGTGGGGCGGGGGTTCCCACAGCTTAACTGATCAGGGGCCGGTGCCGAGGGAGCGAGCGGCGCCGGGCGGCGAAGTGCCCCGGGCAGCGGCGGAGCAGGGCGAACCGGCGGCCGTAGGAGCCACGAAGCAGTGCCGAGATTGCATAGTACCGGGAGCGGAGTGGCCACCGAAAATGGCGGTGGTCACGTGGCGCGATGCCGCGCGGAACAGAAAGAGTCTCGGTCTGGGAGCACGGGCGGGGGCAGGTCGGCCCCATAGCGGGAGGCGGGGGCACATAGCCCTGCCGGAGCGGCGTGGGGAGTTCCTGACCGGAGAGGCGGCGGAGCCGCCGCCAAACTGGCCCCGCTGGTGCTAGGGGTAGCGGCGGCGGTCGCGGCCGCTTCCGCCGATGCGGCGTGAGCTCCGGGTGGCCCGGAATGCCTGCGGCGCTGGCTGGCACGAACTGCAAGCGGCACGGGCTGCGAGCGGGGCAGCTCTGGCAGACCACAGCGGCTCCGCTGACCGCAGCGCGCGGGGAGCCGGCCCCGCTGGCCGCGGCGCAGACAGGCGCCGCGGGGCGGGGAGGCAGCACAGAGGGGCGGTACCACAAGCGGCTGAGATAAAAAAAAAAAAAAAAAGCCGGAACGAGCTGTTCCCAAGGCAAGGGGCCGGTGGCGTGCCCCGGTGGGGAGCTGGCCCTGCTGGCGCCGCGGGGGCGGTGCCAAGGGGCGGTGCCTGGAGGCAGTGCCGGAATTCTAGTTTGGCTCTGGGGGCAGAAAACCCCGCAGAAAAAACTTTGACAAATGTGAAAGCTAAGCAATCAACAAGCGTAAGAAGTTTGACAAGAACAGCCCTGTCTGTGTGTATAGACTAAGCAGCGAGAAACTAGAGAGCGTTTGCAGGGGGAGCCCTGGAGGTCCTGGTCTACGACAAGTAAAGGAAGAGTCCACAGTGCCTTAGCAACCAAGAGAGACATCAGTGTCCTGAGTACTGCAAATTTTTCCTTTTCGTTTTGTTCCTTTTGTTTTGCAACTTTTACCGTCTTTCTAAATTCAATAAATGAGATTTTTTTCTCTCAAAACTGCAATTGAAATGCTAAAAACCTCTGAGTGGTTTCCAGGGGAAGATATTAAGGACATCTTCCCCCCTGACGATCCCAAATGGGATCCTAACGTACCACCAAATCTGGAAGCATTGAAACGTAATCAGGACTGGGTAATTTATGGATTTTGGCATGGGGTTCCGAAGGCGATAAACTGGTCCAAAATGTACGAGGTTAAACAAGACACAAATGAATCACCCACAGACTTTCTAAACAGGTTGAAGGATGTCATTAGGAAATATACCGACATAGACATAGAGTCAGATCTGGGAAAGAAAAATCTGGTGTATTTATTTGTAGGGCAGTCCACAGATGACATAAGAAAAAAACTGCAAAAAGCAGGTGGTGATAAGAAGGATATTGGTGATCTATTAGATATAGCTTGGACAGTATATCGAAATAGGGAGCAGAAAAAGAGAACAAGGGTGATGGAACTAGAAAGTGGTTATCGAGAACATCATAGATGTAACCACAGGTATCACAGGTCTAATCGTCAGCAGGACATAACAGACGACAGGTGCTCTTATTGTAAAAAGAAAGGACATTGGAGAAAAGACTGCCCAGAACTGAGGAAAACTGAAAACCCTCTCCCCCCTCCACCACCAGCTCCTCAGCTGACTGTGAGTCAGAATGCATGAAGGGAACCGGAGGTTTCTTCCCCGGCAGAGCCTCTGGTCACAGCTAAGCTCGGGGGGGAGGATGTTGAGTTCTTGGTTGATACAGGTGCGGCATATTCTGTGTTAAATACTGTGGAAGGGAAACTCAGTAATGAAACTATAACTGTGGTAGGTGCTACAGGGGTAAGTGAAACAAGGCCATTTTTTAAACCTTTGAAATTCAAATTGGGTAAGCACTGGGTAACTCATCAATTTCTTTAGATGTCAAATTCTCCTAGGCCTTTATTGGGTAGAGACTTACTGGAAAAATTAGAAGCTGAAATTAAATTCAGCAAGGGGGGAGACATAAAAGTTATAATTCCAGACACTAAATATATCGAGGCAACTGCTTTCTTTATACAGGAAAATCATGGAGAGATCCCTGAAGAAGTTGAAAATGCTGTCATACCTTTATTCTGGGCCAGCGAATACCCTGGGAAGTCAAAGCAAGCTGAACCAGTAAGCATCACACTCAGGCCAGGAGCAGTCCCGGTAAGGCAAAAACAATATCCTTTGAAATTAGAAAGCCGAAAAGGCTTAGCACCTATAATTGAAAGGTTTCTTAAATTTGTGTTACTGGTAGAATGTGAATCCAGATTTAATACCCCCATCCTACCAGTGAAAAAGGCTGATGGCAAAAGCTATCGGCTAGTCCAAGATCTTAGGACCATCAATAAAATAACTGAGGACATCTACCCGGTGGTAGCCAACCCCTATACACTGTTAACCACTGACAGAAGATTTAGGATGGTTCACTGTACTCGATCTTAAAGATGCCTTTTTCTGCATTCCTGTACATAAAGACAGCCAAGAGCTTTTTGCCTTTGAGTGGGAAAATCCTGAGACGGAGGAAAACGCAACTAACCTGGAGAGTTCTTCCACAAGGCTTTAAGAACAGTCTGACAATTTTTGGGAACCAGTTGGCAAAAGAACTGGAAGACTGGAGAAGACAGCAGCAAGAAGGAGTTGTCCTGCAGTATGTAGATGACATCTTAATTGCAGCCAGAAGCCAGGACCAATGCATCGAGCTCACTGTAAGTCTCTTGAACTTTTTGGGGCTAAGTGGGTATCGGGTCTCAAGAGAGAAGGCACAAATAGCCAAAGAGATAGTCATCTACCTGGGGCTTGAAATCTATCGTGGGCATCGGCGACTCAGCACAGACCAAAAAGAGGCCATTTGCCGTCTCCCAGAGCCCCACACTGTACGAGAGATGCAGGCCTTCCTGGGAATGGTAGGATGGTGTCGGCTGTGGATAGCTAACTATGGGTTGCTAGTCAAACCTCTGTATGAAGCCCTGAAAATGGCCAAAGAGGGAGTTGTAACATGGATAGATGAGACCAGAGATGTGTTTAAACAACTGAAACAGTCCTTGATGTCAGCTCCAGCACTAGGATTACCAGATTTAACTAAACCTTTCGAACTGTTCACACACGAGCAGTTGAATGTTGCTCTGGGGGTATTATCGCAAACTCTGGGATGTAGGGGCGTGTCTGAGATACAAAGGGAATGTACCAAGGCAGAGACGCCCAGAGAGCATGCGCCGAGGTTTACAACCCCCATTGGATAAAGAGATCACATGGTTGTGGGATATAAAAGGGAGCGGGAATTTCGAATAAAGCTCTTTGTCTACCATCTCACAGGGAGTGTACATGATTTCTTTATTATATAAAGGCAGCATGCCACGTGCACGCTACATCTGGCGACCCAACCTGGGGCCGAATCTACATTAGATCAGATAGCTTAAACCTGTAACAGGTATATATCGGTAGGATCTCCGGTTATCACTTTAGTTTTATAAAGTGGGAGTCCTTTTACCGAAAAAAACCTAGACGTCTGTAAACGTTGCCTTGGGGGAGACCAAGGAACGAAGTTAGTGAGCTCAAAAAAGTATAGGGAAAGTGCACAGAAAAAAAAGAAGAAACGAGAAGAAAGAAGAAAATGCCGAGAGACCGGAGCGGGCAGGCACCGGAGAAAGCGGAGAGGGTCCAACACGCAACACCGAAGCGGTGAGTGGAGCTGAGAGGCAGCCTGCGCGGCAAGGACTGCTCCCCGAGCGGCAGCGTGAACGCAGCTCGGAAAACCCGGGACGCGAGACACGCTGAAACCGCGGGAAATCCCTGCTGCCCCACCGCCACCGCTTACCCAGCCACGCCGGATCAGCGCCGCCGCTGCCCGTACCACCCCAGCCACACCGCCGGACCCCCACATTGGCTGTCTGCCTAGCAGAAAGCTTCGCAGCTCCGTGCTGCCTGCCGCCCCCCCCGGCGCGTTCGCCGCCACCTCCACTGGCCCCGCGCCCTGCCCAGAAGCTGCGTGGGACCGAGGGAACCCTGTGCCGACCGCGTCCAGCAGCCCCCGAACCCCACCTCGCCTAGCAACCCCCGCCATCCGCCCTTGCCGAGACCGAGTCCGCCGCTGTCCCCTGCCGCTGTGCGCCGCGCCGAGAAGGAGCGCCGCCACCGCCCGCGCCGAGGAGAATCCGCCAGCCCGCGCCGCTGCAGCCAGCGCCGCGGAGGAGCCGCGTCGCCTCCGCTGCCGCCGCAGATCGAGCACACCGCGCGCCGCCGCCGAGCCCCGCCGCCGCCGGAGCCGCTAGCTGCACTGAGGGACGCCCAGCAGCCACGCCGGAGCCTCGGGGACCCGAGCAGACCCCCACGGAGACGCCGGGAGAAAAAAAGCGGCGGAGAAGCAGCCGACTCAGAAACCGAAACTAACTGCAGCCGAACAAAGAAACATGTGCCACAGCCGCCGAACCAAGGTAACACAGCTCTGTCGCTATGGAAACCTCGCAACACATTGAAACACTTTTAAAACACAATTGCTAGCGTCGCAAAGATACACATAAGAAAACTGGGACACATTCTAAGCCACAGCCACCAGCAAACGAAACAAGTAACCCACCCGCCCCCACACACACACTGCTACAAGCACATAGCCCATAGACATGCAGGGGGAAGGGAATACAGCAGTTTGTAATCTGAACTCACTATCGGGAGCCGAGAGCGAGGAGGCAAACGGGGGAAAATCAGATAACAGGTGGAAACAATGTAGGGAAAAGGCAATTCGGGCAAGTAGCCTGGAGGATATTCAGGTGTGCTCAGACGGATTTACCCAACGTCAGCCCCCTCAATTCCAGCCTCTGCCATATGAGGCTACAAAGAATTTGAGGCAGTCGGTAAGAGATGCTGGCGTATCCTTAACCAATACTTTCAAGTATCTGGACACATTGAATTCCATCTATTTTTCCACCCCACATGACACAGAACATGTAGACTGGTTATCTGACTTTCGGGAGAATTGTGCCAAACACAATGCAAACACCCCAGCTGACATAACAATAAACCCATTAACCGAAGAGGGAAGACACAGCACAGCAGGTGCCCAATTAAGTCGCCCCCGAGAAATATACAAACAGGTGCTGAAAGCCATGAGAAGGCTTCTCACCACAGACCAAAACACCAATCAGCCCAGCACAAAAGTGTTACAAAGTTGTGCTGAGCCTAACCCACAATATTTAAATCGGCTGCAGTCTGCTTTAGACAAGCAAATTGAATACAATGAAGCCAGAGGGATGCTGTATAAGCAATTGGCTTTAGAAAAGACAAAAACAAGCTGTGAGAAAGCTTTGCAAACCTTTTCTGGAGGGGTTTACCACGGCACTGCTGAGCTGGTTCAACCTTACCAAAGATTTGGCTCTGAGGAGCACCAGTCTGTCTCTCTAGCTGTGGCCCTGGAAGCCCAGCTAGGAATACAAGAAGAGGCCAGACTCAGAGCAAGTGGTGTCAGGTGCAGTAGCACTGACCACTTTCAAGGAGATCACACCTGGAGACCCTTTGCAGCAATGCCCCAAAAATACTCTAATGGCAAGGAATCAGCTGAGTTGTACCAGGGATGCCGAGGGCAAGGCAAATGCCTTGCTGCCAGCATCGCACTGCTTGTTGCTGTGTTGCTTGCTGCCCTCTGTGCCACCGGCTTTCATGTGCCAGAGAGGAAGCAGCTTGAAGCAAGCCCCAAAGTGGCAACAAACAGCCCAGACAACACCCCTATATTCTGCACCCCCAAGAAAGGTGACAGGTGGAGAGTGCTGCCAAACTCAAAAGCAGTAAGTGCAGTCATAAGGCATGTAGGAGCACCGCAGCATGGACTGCCTTCACCCAATATGCTCCCAACGAGTTGGCCGCTATTGGTAACTGATTCAAAGATTTGTTCCTTTACCACCTTCCTACACCCTGAGGATGTGCCAAGGCTTGCCTTTCCCATCATGGCCTTGAACAGTGCACGGCCCATGCAAGACTATTGCTGGGTTGTCCTCCCTCAGGGGATGCAAAATAGCCCGACAAGGTATCAAACAACCACGACACATCGTTATACAGGTAAAATACCAATAAGCACGGCCACAGGAAATGAACTGCCATTTACTCTTACTGCTCTAATCAAAACTGTCCAAGATGCAGGGTTGCAGCTTGCAGCGGAGAAAATCCAGCAACCACTACCCTGGACTTTCCTTGGACAGGAATTCGTACAGCAAAAAGATTCTCCACAGCTGCTGCAGCTCGAGGTAAAAAACACTTTATATTTACGTGAATTGCAGGAGCATCAGGGGACTGTCAATTGGTTAAGGCCTATTTCAGGCATAACCCCAGAGGAGTTACACCCTCTGCTTCAGCTGCCAAAGAGAGACTCCAGTCTAATGTCTAACAGGTTACTGATACCAGAAGCCAAAAGGGTGTTAGGCATTCGTACCAAGGCAATAGAGAGAGGGCAAGGCAGAAGGAGAAATCCTGAACTGCAAATCTGCCTAGCCTTCATTCCCAGCAGGTATCAACCATTAGTAGCCTTGCTACAGTGGGATCAGACTGAAAAAGACCCACTGCAAATTCTAAAGTGGCTAATTTTGCCCCACATACCATCTAGCACTGTGTGGACTGTTAATGAGATGTATGCAAAGCTTGTCATTAAAGGCAGAGGACGACTGCAGGAATTGGACGGAAGGGACCCTGCCATCATCCACATGCCAGCTACGAAGGACAATTTGGATAGGATGCCAGCTGAGGAAGCAAGGTTCCAAGCTGCCTTAACAGTTTTCATGGTAAAACTTTCATGCATCTCTCAAAACACAGGTTGTGGGCAGTGACCACTAATCTACCTTTAAAAGGCATGACCAGATGCCAACACGGATCAGTGAAAGGCTTCAGGGCCTTCACACATGCATCTGGGAACAACATAGAAGGCTGCAGTGACTCAGGTAAAATCCTGCTGCAGAACAATGAGGAAGAGAGACGCAGACCGTGAACCAAAGCTGTGCAGGTTCTGGAACTGACTGCCATCCATATTGCCTTGGGAAAGTTTACTAAGTAATCTTTTAATGTTGTAACTGATTTCTGTTATATTGCAAGTTGATACCCCATCTTGAAAGTTTGTTTATTTGAGATATCGTAGCATTTACCTGTTAATTGAAATGCATTCTATTTGGTTTCTTGTGAATTATAGAAGGTTTTGATATTCATGCAATGCACACAAGGTAACACAATGACAGGTAAGGGCCAACAACTGACAAAGAACTAAGAAACTGAAAAAACAACAACGTTTAACATCATATCTAAGGTCTTGGAGCAAGCGAAATTGTCTAATTAATTTTTCCATCAGAATGCAAATTCCTTAAATAGACAATTTCAAATAACATTCAGTTAACTCAAGACTTCATCATGTCACGCCCAAACTGTCAAAAAATCACAACAATGCCATCTCAGAACACGTTAACCCCACATGGTTAATTGCAAATGAGATTGAGCAAACAGATCCACACACATCTCTGAATTGGACATATTAAAATATGTGCATGTAACAGTAGGTATATACCCACATCACGTAATCTCCACAACACCCACTGCAGAAAAGGCCAAGAGTGTGAGACACTCTGGCTTAGTTGCTCAGCAACTCTTGGTCCATAATATTCATAGTAAAACAGCTACATTTCCTATCAAATAGGAAAATTCTCATGTCACAAGTATTCCATTCTCACTCCTTAGACAGGTAATTATACAAAGAGCACACTACACATCAAAACAGTGTCAACTAAACAAAAAAAAGGGGGGAGAGAATCTGTATAGCAAAAAGAATATCTGTGAAAAGCCATGTATGTATCAATTTTCAAATTGTGACAATGCTGGAAACATGTAAGTATGAAAAACAACACAAACCCCAGGCTAGTGTGCCTCTCCCAAAACATCGGTCATGGTAAGGGATTTGATATCTGGGCAGTGGACGGAACCACTAAATCTCTGATTTGGGAGAGAGGCTATGCTGGGGAGTCTGAAGGAAAAGAGTTAAAATGAACCCCTTCCAGGTCTGTTACACCCCACGAGGCATAAAATCACATCAGCAAGAACCAGAGTGACGCAGAAGTTATAAGAAAGTTATGTTTATGTTTAAGGTTTACATTAAGGACGACCAGTGTGGCAAAAAGCAGTTTGTAAAAACCCATGAATGTGTGTATGATGTGTGAAATGATGGCCATCAAGCGATTGAGAGAGTGAATGGACAAGAGTGTTGTATGACTGGACAAATATTGAAACACCTCACAAATAACAATACCTCCACCACAGGGTCGCTTTAAAAGAATTTAGCTTTGCTAAGCTTAGCCTGTTTCTTAATAAAGTTGTACTCCCCAGTTATTTAAAACCCTCAAGTTAACAAAGGTTATAAGTTTGCACGGTTAGGCCAAGGCCTTTAAGTTAATAAAGTTATTTCTCCAAGTTGCACTACCCCTTAGGAATATAAGAAGGTTTTAAAAGGTTTACATTAGAAGCATAAGAGGCCGAAGCAAGCAGTGTGCTGGGTCATTGCAAGCTTTGGTAGTTTATAATGTACTGTTCTGATTGTTTGTACTGTTGTTTTGCACTGTTTTTGTGATCCTCTTAAATAATAAAAAGGGGGGTGATGGAGGGGCGTGTCTGAGGTACAAAGGGAATGTACCAAGGCAGAGACGCCCAGAGAGCATGCGCCGAGGTTTACAACCCCCATTGGATAAAGAGATCACATGGTTGTGGGATATAAAAGGGAGCGGGAATTTCGAATAAAGCTCTTTGTCTACCATCTCACAGGGAGCGTACATGATTTCTTTATTATATAAAGGCAGCGTGCCACGTGCACGCTACATCGGGAAGCCAACAAAGAGTCGTGGCTTATTTCTCTAAACAGCTGGACAGTGTTAGCCAAGGGTGGCCGCGGTGCTCTTGCAGCAACTGTTATCCTGATTGAAGAGGCCCGGAAGCTCACCCTTGGGCAGCATATCACCGTGTATGTACCCCATGCAGTTCAAGCCGTGCTTGAACAAAAGGGAGGCCACTGGCTGTCCCCCAGCAGAATGCTTAAGTATCAGGTTGTGTTGCTGGAACAGGACGATGTTACTTTGAAAACAACATCTATTGTAAATCCAGCTATGTTTCTGTCCTCAACACTAACCGACAGTGTCCCCAAGCATGACTGTTTACAGACTATAGAAGAGACTTATTCCAGCAGACCAGACCTGAAAGATGTGCCTCTGGAAAATGCAGACTGGGAACTGTATACAGACGGAAGCAGCTTCATGCGAGATGGTAAGCGCTTCACAGGGTATGCAGTGACGACCAGAGATGAAGTGATCGAGGCAAAGGCCTTGCCAGCAGATGTGTCATCCCAAAAGGCAGAACTAATCGCGCTGACAAGAGCCTTGGAACTGAGCAAAGGAAAGAAGGTAAATATCTGGACTGACTCAAAATATGCATTTAGTGTTGTACATGCCCACGGAGCCATCTGGAAAGAGAGAGGACTACTGACAGCCCAAGGCAGTGGAGTCAAGCATGCAGACCAAATCCATGCACTCCTGCAGAATATTTAAAAAAACCAGAAGAGGTAGCTATTATGCACTGTAGAGCCCACCAAAAGGGGAAAACAACTCCCGAGTTGGGAAATCATTTTACTGATCAAGCAGCAAAAGGGGCTGCAGAAAAAGGCATCCTAGCAATAGTACCGCAAAGAGAAATTGACTTAACAAAATACACCCCTAAATATGATGAGAAAGACAATCAGTTAATTAAATCACTGAAAGCTGAAATCAAGGAAGGGGGGTGGGCTGTCACACCCACAGGACAGGTTATAGTTCCACCACCGCTCCTTAGGGAAATAGCTCAACAGGAACATGAGGCTACCCACTGGGGAACGGAAAACCTTCTAAAACACCTAAAGAAAACAGTAATAGGGACAGGTATGACTGAAGCTGTACAGTCCATAGTAGGTAAGTGTGAAATCTGTAAGCGAAATAACCCAGATACAACAAAGAGAGTGGTACTAGGGGTAACAAAGGCTGGAGACCAACCCGGAGATTACTGGCAAATAGATTTTGCTGAGTTACCACCTTGGGGGGGGTATAAATACATACTTGTGTTAGTTGACACTTTCAGTGGATGGCCTGAAGCATACCCCTGACGCACTAACACAGCGAGGGAAGTGGTAAAAGCTTTACTTAACCCCATAATTCCAAGATTTGGGGTTCCTCTGGGAATGTCATCAGATAGAGGAACACATTTTATTGCGACAATAGTAAAAGAGGTATGCCGCATCCTGGGAATTGTCTGGGACCTACATACCCCCATAGACCTCAGGCTAGTGGCAAAGTTGAACGAATGAATGGTAATCTGAAAACGCAAATTAGCAAAATTTGTCAGGAAACATCTATGTCGTGGGTTCAAGCTTTGCCACTAGCTCTGCTGAGGATTCGTATCCAACCAAGGCGGAGGGATAACATAAGTCCATATGAAATACTGTGTGGAAGACCATATCAGGCACCACACATACCAGGGGATGTACACATAAGAGGGAGAGCCGATTTACAAAAATATTTGATTGCTTTAGGCTCTACTTTGCAGAAGCTCCAGAGGGTCATCGAGTTATCCAGACCCATAGGACTGGACACCCCTGCTCATCCCTTCCAACCAGGAGACTGGGTCTACGTCAAGCGGTGGAACAGTGACCCCTTGCGAGCCAAGTGGAGAGGACCATACCAAGTCCTGCTGACTTCCCTCACCGCTGTCAAAGTCGCTGGCAGAGAACCCTGGTTCCACTATTCCAGAGTCAAAAGAGCACCAGCTCCTGGAACAACCAGCCAATCAGAACCGGACACCGACGAAGAAGATGTGGCATAGACTGTTTGTGCTGTGTATTCTGTTCGTGCAACCGGTAACTATGAACTGAGTTTGGGATCAAAAATTGCATGTGGCCCTAGTCCAAAATGTGTCAAAAATTCTTCGGAAAACTGAATGCTGGATTTGTACGCAAGTACCAGCAATTGATGATGAGGATAGTGACTGGCCCCTAACCTAATTGACATTTTACTAAATGGGACAAACTTTGGTAAGTCCATGATAAATTTCCCAGGGACCTGGAAGCCCGTTACAGAGGCTTATTATCCGGTGGCCCTAAGTAATGTGGTTTCTAATCAGGATATAGTTCCCTGCATGATTGTAAATGCTACAGGAAAAATCATTCTCCCCCCCTACTGTGATAAAAACAATTCAAAAGAAGGGATAAACCCAGAAATTGTTGCAGGGATGGCACAGTTGCCTTTGAGATTAACTCCTCCCCAGGGTTCAGGATGGTGCTGGATCTGTGAAAAGGAGGCTTGGAAAGTTTTGCCCCTTGATAAAGATCGGGCCTGTGCCCTAGGGGCAGTGATCCCAAATATAACAATTCTCGACCCAATTGACGAACAAGAATGGGATAAAACCTATCCAAAAAGGGTGAAAAGAACTAACAATCCCCTTATTGAGCGCCCTACAATTTTCCACAGCATAGTCAGAGCCTTAGTCCCATCTCTAGGAGTGAGTGAATTAGAAAAAGCAATTGTAAACATTTCAGCTGTCATGGAAGACATTCAAGATCACACTTTGGATGCAATTGAAGCCCTAAAAGAACAATTCCAAAGCTTGTCTCATGTAGTGGTACAAAATCAAATGGCCCTCAATTTCTTGCTAGCCTCACAGGGAGGCGTGTGTAAAGTTATCAACACCAGTTGCTGCTCTTACATAGACTGGACTGGTAGAATTAATAATGATTTGGCCGCAATTCGAAATCAAACCAAAATCTTTCACCAAATATCTCTGGATGATGTCTCCCTGGGTTTAGGAGATGTCCTCCACAAACTCACTTCATGGTTACTGAATTGGACATGGATGAAACAACTGTTTATTCTAGTATTGTACATACTTAGTGTTAGTATAATAGCTCACTGCATGTACAGATGTTATAGTTGTTGTAGATGTAAGTAGAGATTGGACAAGACCTTTGGGTTTTGTCCAGTCTCTAAGGGGGGACTGATGCCTTAACCCTCTATTAGTTTTTATTTTTCTAATTTTTTGTAAGCTTTATAAGTTTTATAAGTAGTAGAAGTAGATTTTAAAAGCAGCAGCCCTTATCCCTCTGCCCTGTAGCACCCTTTAGTTTACAAATTCCTTAACCCTCTTACCCCATTCCATGTATCCTATATCAATCCTATCCCTGAATCCAGTAGATATGTTTAGTCTCTTGTCAAGGCAAGGCCTATTCTGTTTGGAGAACGCTTGTATCTTGGCCTAAACCACAGAACAGAGTCAAGAACTAGGTGACTCTGTACCCTCTGTGCCCCGAAGAAGATGAAGATGATGAAGAAAAGCCCCCAGACCCAATTCCCAGGAGGTGGGCCAGGGGGTGGATCAGGGCAAAAGTAACGGGGTGGACACATTTGGGATTGGACAGATATTGTTATAAAATGTAACGTCTCAGGCACAGCCGGCGCGTGTCGTATAACATCTTTTGCCTTGGCACAATTAAACCCTTTCCTTATCTCACCCTCAATTAACTGCTTCGGAGTTTTTTTCTTAGCACCAGCTGAGCAGGCATCACCCCTCTCCACGGGTCCCACCTGGAGACAAGTCAGGCGGCACAGTCCTGCAAAGAGAAATTTCACGTTCAGTATGACATCTTTGTCGCCAAAAATGTATTAGGGAGGGTTCAAGACATCCTGAAACTTGAAAACCCAGACACCGTTGGAACTCAATAAAGCAGATATTTATTACAAAAAGGTGGCTAACAAAAACGGGCACTCGGGAGAAGGGGAAAACCAAAGAGGAAAGTACGACACCCTACTCACCTAGGTGTCATTTATGAGATGATCTTACCCACTCCAAAGACTATAAAGCCCTCTGCGGCAGCAGCATTTTCCAGAGGGTTAGCAGGCTCCCACGACAGCAGGCATCCCCGCTAAAGGCCACTTGGTCCTTCATGTAGAGCAAGCCCACCCAAAACAAAAAACCTGTCTGCTTTTATACAATCAATGAGCACCTCTGCCCGGGAAGGCGTGGCCAGTACCACCCTGCCAGAGGCTCTCAATCCCACCCTCCTAGTTATATAAATTCATCCCTTCAGCGCATGTGTGAGAACTTTGGAAATCCCCTAACGCATGCGCAGTCTACTTTGGGGGTCTCTTCTAATTGAGTCGAGGGTTGAGCCTTCCTCCTCTCCTCTTCACCTTCTCCTTCAAATGCCCTTGGCAGACAATGAACTAATAGTAGAACACCAATTAAAATGGTTTATACAGAAGTTCTCCCTCCAAGGACAAATTCTCTGTTTTATCAGTGAACTTGGCAGGGAGAATATAAACTACCACAGGTGGCTGGGGCCAAACACAGACCAAACAAAAAAGAAAAAATCAACATTCCCGCTACATTCTTGCACTCTCACTGTGAGTATATTTATATGCTAAAATAAAAAAGATATTGAAATGTATCAATATACATTGAAAATCAGCTTGTGTTAATCATTATGACAGTCAGTGAGAATGAAGATAACTACCGAGTACAAATGCAAAGCAAAAATAAAATCATCTATGTAAATCAAAGTTTCTTTCTCCCTGGTTTTAATCCTGATTAAAATTGGAAGCTTAAATTATTATGAACATGTAAAGACTAACAAAGATCTGTAAAATATGGCCCTGTGGAATACAGTCACAATCTCTTAAATCTGTTCTTTCCAGAATCATAAGAAATGCTGCACCTTGTTGTCCTGTTTATTGACTCAGATCAATGAAGATTTCTGTGCATTAGTCATAAACATAACATGATGTGTGACCTGTTCTCTGATTTTATGATTACCCTTAGCTCTATTGCCAGCATATCACAGGTAACATTTGCCAGCAATAATCCATAATATTTCGAGCTTTTTCATTTCTGTGTAACTCTTCCCAAGTAACAGCTGGGACCTTTGAACGCTTGAGTTTGATTTCCTAATTTTCAGAACCCTTGACATATTCCTTCTCTGTCTATCTGGCAAGTAAAATAGAACACTCTGCTGTTACAAAAAGAAAGAACATAGACCAAATCTTGTACCATTAAGTTGAGAAAGGCATATACATGATGCAGCTTGTATGTATTAATCCTATGCTCTGCAAATGCTTTGCTTAAAATGTACAGGGAATGAAGTACATCAAATCGGAGAAGGAGGCGGCGCAAGCACGAATGGTCGTGCCCTGGACCGCCCCCGGGCCCGCCCCGCCTCCCGAGTTGGCATGGCCCTGCCAACTCGAGCTCCAGGCTTGCAATCGTTGCTATAGCAACAGAGTCCACGAGCGGCCGGAAACCGGAAAAGATACTTTTTGCAACAGCGAGAAGGGAAGGTCAAAAGGGAAGCTTGCCCGAGACTTGTTTTAGCCCCATCCCTGTTGTGAACTGCGGGGGGTTTCCCAAAGGGAACCCGGCAGGAATGGACACGGTACGAAAGGCTGAGCGACCGACACTGTCCCACGGACTGGCCGGCCACCGCTGTGGCCCCTCCCCTCGCCCGTTGGACTGGCTAACACGGAAAGGGGGGGTTGGCCCCGCGGGGGGGTCCTGCGGTGGAGGGTGTGGGAAATAAAGAATCGGTTTTATTACAAGCAAATGAATTTAGCAAATCACTAACATAAGAGTTTTTCTTTACTAACCTATAGGGCCTATCGCGGAGCTGTAAGACGCCGGATTCAGCCTGGAACCGGTGTCAGGGAAACATGCGAACGGGAATAGGGGAACTGTAAATGAATATTGGTAAGGAAACCCCTTATACCACATGGCTGGTCCTGGAAGCTGCCATGCTGCTGGACACTCCACCTCCCAGCACGACACAGCCAACCAGAAAGAGGGGAACGCCTCTTCTATGACGTAAACGGGGTTAAACCTTAAGAATGTTTAAAAAGCGGGACTTTTGAATTGAAGGGGGTGTTCTGGGAATCCTGCGTGCCTAGGACACCCAACACGTGTTGTAATTTTTCCTTTTCGTTTTATTCCTTTTGTTTTGCAAACTTTTGCCGTCTTTCTAAATTCAATAAATGAGATTTTTCTCACAAGGGGGAACTGCACCTGGACCTGACCCACCCAGGGGGGCACCACACCTGTACCTGACTCACCTGGGGGGTCCTGAGGAAGGGGATAGAAGAGCCAGCTATATTGGCCCCTGTGTGCTCTAAGCCTGTTTCAGGCTCACAGCCTGTGAATATTCCTGCACTCTGTGCCCAAATTCAGCTCAGGGGGCTGTGGCAGAACCAAAAGGGGGGCCACTGTTTTGCTCTCAATGTGAACTAACGATGTATCAGAAGTTGACTGTTTGCAGAAAGCTTTTTCCAGCAGACAGACCTGAAAGCTGTGCCACCAGGCTGAGAGTCATATGGAAACAACTTTGTGCAGAAGTGAACGAATGCCTTAACAACTGCGAGATACACCAAGACAAGAGGTTTTGGACTGTAATAAGAATTCCTGGAATGGGTCAGGAGTAAGTAACAAGAAAGACCAATAAGGAAAGGCTTCTGACATGGTTAAGAACTGTTGTAAAATCAGCCTATGATATTTGTTTTTGTTGTCATCTGTCCTATGTTGCTTTTAGGCTTCTCTTACTGTTAGTTTAATTACAAAAGGATTGAAAGCTTATATTGCTTTTGCTACACTGATTGCTTTAAAGTTTGCAATGTTCATATTTGTATATGTTCTGTCCCAGCAGTTTAACAGCATTTCGTGAACACTGTTTGGAATATCTGTGTCTCCTTGGCTACTGCAACCTGTGAAAAGGATTATGCCTCTAAAATGCTTTCTCATCCAGTGTCATCTTGGAGTGTGTGAATGCTGAATTTCACAGAAGAAAAGTC